CCACCCCCCACCCCCCGTTTTAAAAACATAATGGGTGGGATGGGAGAGAAAAAGGAATGCAGGGCAGCTGGTGTCTGCTGATGGAGCAATGTAGCGCCTAGAGTGCCTAGAGCTCCAAGCTGTCTTCCTCTGCCATCACTGATAGACTGCCGCTCTCTACTGAAATCCCCCTTTGTTCCTTGGTTTGCTCAGCTCCCGGGAGATAGAGAACTTAGCTTCTCTGAGAGCACAGTTGCAGGTGACAGCCTTAGTTTGTTAGTTGAATGTGGTGGTTTTTCAAACAAGGAAACTGAACCCTGGGGACATTCTCAGACTAGGTGGCAATATGGTCTTATGAAGGCTATACTGAGGCCCCAGGAGTACTCTCTCTGATCTAAAACTTGTGATCTGGAACTTAGTTGCATTCAGGAAGCCAATGCTACAGTGGAAGAGCCTCTGACTTTGCAGAGCTGACTGTAGAAGACAGGTTTGTTTGTTTGTTTGTTTTTGTCTTTTTGAGACAGGGTCTCCCTGTAGCCCCAGCTGTCCTGGAACTCACTATGTAGACCAGGCTGGCCTTGAACTCACTGAGATCCGCCTGCCTCTGCCTCCCCAGTGGTGAGACTACAGGCGTGCGCCACCACGCCCAGCTGAGAAGACAGTTTATAAAGCTGGTAGGGCCCATCTGGTGTGGGAAGGAGGGACCCGGGTCACATATGTGGCTCTAGTAGAGTTGGGGGTGACTTCAGAGTTGGGTGGAGATTCCCCCCATAAACCTGTGAATGGATTTTCCAGAGTCTGGCCAACCAGTAGGAAAACCATGCAGGTGGATGAAGCTGCGGCTGTGGGTGTGTGCATTGGGGATGCGATCCTTTGCAGTGCTGTCTGCCCCAGTCTTTTAATTCAGCAGCTGAAAAAGCAAAAGGGATAATAAGATGCTGCAAGTGGTTACAGCACTGCAGTGTTGTGCCCTGTCTCCTTGATTGAACTCAGTCTTTCTGGCATTTATGTGAACAGAACTGTCCCTGAGTTGCAATCCTCCTTAGCATGGGAAGCTGGGGTATGAGGCAGGTTCTTTACCTTGCCTTCCCCATTCTGGGCCCATAGGCCCTCAGCTGGGTCCACTGCTATGCTCAGAGGCTGCTGGGCCTGAGACATGCCCAGGAGTTGGGCTTGAACTGCCTTAGTCCTTCTGCCACCCATTCAGTCTGCTGGCAGGTGGGAGACACTGGAAAACCAGTCCACTAGCCAATCATCCAGGCTCCCAATTCAGACCAGGGTTGGGATGAAAGGGGCACTTCAGTGCCCACTGAAACTCTTTCATTCCATTGAAGAAGCAGTTACTGAGGGTGGGATAGGAATGGCAGTGACTTGGGATTGGTCCTCTGAGACCCAGACACTGACCCAGGCCATGTGTGGACATGTGTCCTGCAGGTTGCACTTCCCCCAGCTGGCCCTGCGGCGGAGGCTGGGCCAGCTGAGCTGCATGTCCAGACCTGCTCTGAAACTGCGCTCCTGGCCCCTGACCATCCTCTACTACCTCCTGCCCTTCGGCGCCCTCAGGCCACTCAGCCGGGTGGGATGGAGGCCTGTGAGCAGGGTAAGTGCACAGGCCTTGTGGCCACAGCCCTCCCCAGACAGGCCTGAAGTTGAGGTGCAGGAAGAGAGAGATGGGATGAATGTGTTGTCAGGAGTAGAGGCAGTGGTTGTGCCCTTAGGGTGTGAAAGGTTGGTTGATGAACATGTGACCAGTTCGCTGCTTCGCTGATGTCATTGGGAGCTCTGGTTTTGGAAGGAACTTACATTGATCAGTCAGAAAATGGTGTTACTCTGGCTTCTTCAGGCAGAAGAAAGTGTAGAGATGATGTTAAGAAAAATCAAAGTAAATTCCTAGATACCAGAGGGTAGTTGAAACCTGGAGCTGAGCTGGGCCATTTAGATTCGGGGACATGCTTCAGGAGTTCAGGACCGCACAGTGGGTGCCCTGGGTAGAACCTGGCCAGCATGTAGCTAGAGCTAGAGGGCTATCTTGCTCTTAGCTTCCTAACAGCCTGATTCTAAGAAGGAAGTCCTGTTCCTGGGCACTTGATAGTCTGGGTGGACATCACAAAAGCAAGGTGGGGCTGGTAAGGTGGGTCAGTGGGCAAAAGGAACTTGCCACTAAGCCTGACAACCTGAGTTCAATCCCTGGGACCTACCTGGTAGAAAAAGAGAATTCCCAAAAGTTGTCCTCTGACTTATACATGCTTGCACATGCATGTACATACATATACCCCCCACAGACACACAAATGTAATTATTTTTAATCTTTTTGAGACAGAATCTCCCTGTAGCCCCAGCTGACCTGGAACTCCACTGTGTAGACCAGACTGGCCTTGAATTCACAGAGATCCATTTGCCTTTGCCTCCCAAGCACTGGGATTAAAGGTGTGTGCCACCACACCCAGCTAAATTTTTTTTTTTTTGGTCTTTTTGAGACAGGGTCTCCCTGTAGCCCCAGCTAACCTGGAACTCACTATGTAGACCAGGCTGGCCTTGAACTCACTGAGATCCACCTGCCTCTCCCTCCGAGTGCTGTGATTAAAGGCATGTGCCACCACGTCCAGCTATTTTTACTTTTTTTAAAGAACCCAAGAAACAAAAGCCCAAGGGCCTGGGACCACACGGCAGTCTTACTCCTTCCAAGTGACTAGGTATCAGCTAGGAGCCACTAAGTTAGTATGTTGCAGAACTGCTGAAATTTGGTAAAATGAGTTTACTCTAAGGGAGTTGGTGCTCCATTGTGTTCAAACACACAGCAGCGTCAGAGGCAGTTCCTACCAGGGCAGCGGCACCAGAAGTTCAAGAGTTTTGAGGACCCTCTGACCCCTGATAGTAGAACAGGGGTAACGGGCTTCAGTGGGCATTCGCCGTCTGCCTCTAGGGATAGTCCCCATGAGCCTGCGCAAGCAATAGAAGGCCTCTGAACACAAGGCTTGTGTGGGGTCCAGTGGCTAGGGGATGAAGCAGGTCTGTATGTGGAAACTTTTACTTTCTGTTAAGAGGATGCTTTGGGCTATGAGGCCTGCCCCTTGCTCCTGGGAACTTCCTGCTGCTTGTTTGAGTGGTCTGAAATGTGGACAGTGACCTTGCGTGACGGCAGCATGCTCATTGCCTCCTGCTAGTCTCATGCTTGTACCAGGTCCATTTCTGTGCCCCACCTATCATTTTCAAGAACTTAGACTGTTTGGTCTAGTCTACCCCTCTGAGACTAAGGCAGCTGCTCTTTGATAGTAGCATAAATGACCTGAGCGATAAGCATATCCAATCCTTGTTTGAGTATTTGGTGAGCACAATCTGGTTCCTTCTGAGAAACAGCCACCTCACAGACCAGCCTGAGAACTTAGGCCTCCCTGGTTTCTCTTTTTTTTTTTTTTTGAGGGGGCGTTCTTTTTGAGACAGGGTCTCCCTGTAGCCCCAGCTGACCTGGAACTCACTATGTAGACCAGGCTGGCCTTAAACTCACAGAGATCTGCCTGCCTCTGGGATTAAAGGCATGCGCCACCTCACCCGGCTCTTCTGGTTCTCTTTAGTTCCTGTGTATATGGGAGTGATAGAGGTGACAGCACTCAGTTTGTGACTAACTCACCCTTCTGTACTGTGGCTCACAGGTGGCACTGTACAAGTCAGTGCCAACGCGCTTGCTGTCACGGGCCTGGGGTCGCCTCAACCAGGTGGAGCTTCCTCACTGGCTACGGAGGCCTGTCTACAGCCTGTACATCTGGACCTTTGGAGTCAACATGAAGGAGGCTGCTGTGGAGGATCTGCACCACTACCGAAACCTCAGCGAGTTCTTTCGGCGTAAGCTGAAGCCTCAGGCGCGACCTGTCTGTGGCCTACACAGTGTGGTAAGGCCTGACCCTTATCTCCATTCTTCCTTAGGAAATGGGATCCTTGCCTGTATTTTGGAATCCAGGCAGGCTTAGAAGTTCCCCATTGGCTGTGGCCTGTCTGAGATGCTCCCCTAGGCCAGGCCGTATCTGGACTGGGGTTCCCTGGGTGCTTGGTAGGTGGTGGAGTAAGGCAAGTCACTGAGGGTTAAGGGTCCTCTCCTCCCTGGCTGCACGTCTCTATCTCCTCCAGATCAGCCCATCAGATGGGAAGATCCTCAACTTTGGTCAGGTGAAGAACTGTGAGGTGGAGCAGGTAAAGGGGGTAACCTACTCCCTGGAGTCATTCCTGGGTCCTCGAACCAGCACAGAAGACTTGTCCTTCCCCCCAGGTGAGTCATTGCTTAGTTGGAGCTGGAACTGGAGTAGGCTTCAGAGGCTAAGGAAAGATGTGAGGCAGAAGGAATGTAAGAGGCCAGGGAAGAGGCTGGTACATTGGGCCAGGAGTCCTCAGTAAGCCTTGGACTACTCTAGGAGTCTTGTCCAGCTAGATGGCCATGTGCCAGGTGTTCACTGTGAGCTGAATGGCACCTGGAGCTTATCTAACCACCAGCCTTCTTTTCACAGCCTCCTCTCGTGACTCCTTCAGGAACCAGCTGGTCACCCGGGAAGGGAACGAGCTCTACCACTGTGTCATCTACCTGGCCCCTGGAGACTACCACTGCTTCCACTCCCCTACCGATTGGACTGTCTCCCACCGGCGCCACTTTCCTGGTAGGCCTGGGGCTGAGTATGGATTGGGAGCTACCTCCATGGGCTTCAGTAAAGCCCTTAGCTTCTTGGCATGGGACAGCTGGGCTCTAAGCTAGTATTGTCAGGGCCAGGTGATGATGTCAGCAAGGGAGCCTGGGAGCCCAGTCGGCATTTGGAATGACACTTGGCTCACAAGTTCCTTTGAGTCTCCGGCCATTCTGGATTGAACACACCAACTCTGGGCAGGAAGTACCATGTTCTCATCTCCATAGGTTCCTTGATGTCAGTGAACCCCGGCATGGCCCGTTGGATCAAAGAGCTCTTCTGTCACAACGAGCGGGTGGTCCTGACAGGGGACTGGAAACATGGCTTCTTCTCACTGACGGCGGTGGGAGCCACCAACGTGGGCTCTATCCGTATCTACTTTGACCAGGTAAGCATCCTCTCCAGACACACAGGCTAGACCTCTTGGGTTCAGCTTTCCCATTAGCTGTGCTGCCAGATCATTTTGACCTTATAAATTCTGAGGAGGGGGTACCCCAATTCTAGCCAGGCCTGGCTCTGCTGAGCAGCTGCTTTGCAAGCACCTCTGCCAGCCCAACCTCACTCTCCTTTTGGCCTGCTTTGCTGCCAGTCACTTGCTTAGAGATGGCTGGGAGACGTAATGGGAACCAGCCTCCCTCTTGACACTTGTGCCAAGAACCGTGGTCAGAGGTGTGGGAAGATGAATATACAGACTATAGGGTAGAGCTGGCCTAGATGAGCAGAGAATCTCTGGTACCTAACCTGCATTTTTTGATGTCACTCTGACTGCTGCTGGTGCTGCCTTGCACCTCAGAGGACAGTTGAGTCTGACTTCTCCCTATCCCTCCTGGTTTAGGTCACAGCAGATTTTGAGACTGTTGGTTGGTTATAGGTCCTATCCTTGAGATGCTTGTCCCCACTACTTTTTCTGAGCTGGACTGGGTAGTGTTGGGACAAGCACCAAAGCTTACTCTTTCCTTCTTACCCTCTAGGACCTACACACAAACAGCCCAAGGTACAGCAAGGGTTCCTACAATGACTTCAGCTTTGTAACACATGGCAACAAAGAGGGTGTCCCCATGCGCAAGGGCGAGCACCTGGGCGAGTTCAACTTGGGCTCCACCATTGTGCTCATCTTTGAGGCACCCAAGGACTTCAATTTCAGGCTGAAGGCAGGGCAGAAGATTCGCTTCGGGGAGGCACTTGGCTCCCTCTAGGCCTCTTCTTGGCTGTGGCTGCCAAGGGATCTTTCCACACAGGGGCATGAGGGTCTTTAGAGGAGCCCCAGGCTGTCTAGGTGAGGGGCACTGCGGAGCTGACCTAGTAGGACCTAAATGATTTGTTCCTGCCTGTCCAGAGATGCAGATGAGAGGTCCTAGATCTGTCTCAGGCAGCCAGTCTATAAGGACCTGGGCCTCCTTTACAGAAAGTACAGGTGGGATGACCTTAAAAATCAGATTTTTTTTTTTTTTGAACTTTGTATAAACTGGAGACCCTACATTTCCTGGCTGAACTGAACATTCAGTTCATCTTGGTATTGTGTGAAAACGGTTGCGTACCCTCTAGCTGCTCCTCCTGCCTCTCTGGGTGGTCTTCTGTTAGCCCCTCTTGCTATTCTGGCCTTAACCCTCTGCCTTCCCACACTGTGCACTGGGTTGAGGTGCTGGCACCCCATTGGCACAGACTGTGGATCCATACTTTCCTTAGAACAGGCTATATGACCTTCATAACTGCTTTCTGTTCTCAAATTTACCTCTCTGCTTGCTAGAAAAGTGAAATCTTTTATACATTGCTGAATGTATTGCCCAGGACTCTGCCATTGTGTTCTGACGACAGTGACTTAATGATGTAGACCCGAGGAACGACCAACCCGCCTAGTGGTTCCCCGAGTGACTGGGGAAGGTGGAGGCTGAGCCCTTCAAGAAATAGGGGAAGTTGCTGCCATTGGTCCAGGCGCTATGTTGGTGGCAGAGGGGCCCAGGTGTATGGTGGGCCAGAAAACCGTCTCAGGTGACTGATGGGTATGCACGCCACTGGGAGCCCATTGGTAGGGGCAGGGCCAGATTTCATGTTGATCTTGGGGATGCTGTGAATTTCTCCTGCAGGAGAAGTCATTGAACTTTTTCAACTGTATCAGTAGCACAGTATTTTGTATGAAAAGTGGGAGACTTCTGAATAGTAATTCATTTAATTGCAAGACATTTTGAAATAAATTTAAAAAAAAAACAGCTTTGCATTCTGTTGGTGGGGGAGGGGTTGTGGCTTCCAAAGGGTAGCACCTGTCACCCAGGGGCAAGCTCCCTAGCACAGAGCCTGTCGCAAGGCCTGAACACGAGCAATGGAGACACCAATGGGCTGGCGCTGGGCATGGAGCTCCTTGGCCAGCTGCTGGATCTGCAGTTCCACCTGGGGGCAGGGAAGGGACAAGGTGAGCTGAATGGAAGTACAGGGGTTGTCCCTGGGGCTGGCCCGGGTCTTACCTCCTCTAGTTCTTTCTGCACCTGATGTTCTACATCCAGGTCCTCATACCTGGGCTCCTCTTGGCTTAGCTCCAGCCACCTACGCAAGCTGTTGGCTTGTCGCTGGCATGACCTGAAGATGGGGACACCTGCTGTCTACCAAGCTGAGTTCTTGGCATAGCCACAAGGGAGCCCTCTCTGGCTTGGAGAGGCATACTGGCTAATTCTGAAGAGATGGGGTGAGAGTGAGTGTGGATGGGCTCCCTGCCCTACTGTGGGAAATGGCTTAGTAAATCAGTACCTGTTCCCAGCCTCTACCTTTCCCAGCAAACAGCAACTCAAGTGGGCCAAGGTAAAAACACTTTTCCATCCCTTTTTAGGGGACCAGTCTGCTTCACTCAAATCTCTGAAGCTGCTGCATGTTGATGGTCACTAGATCACTGGGTATAGCAGGGACTCAGGCCTGTGCTCTCTACCTTTCCAACACTACAGTCGTAGTTGTTTGGTGGATGGCAGAACCCAACTCTCATCTCAGAACATCCCCTTCCTGCTGTCATAGCTCCTGGCCATCCTTGCCCACAGTCCTCTGCACTAGCCCTCTGTGTTCTAGGTGACCTGAGGGACACATCTTTGACTTATGCTATGAACACTCAGCGGCCTTCCTCCCTGAAGGCCAGACTGGGTGTAGTCTTGCTTGGCTTTATTATCCCCCCAAATGAAGCCAACTTGGTACCTCCTCAGTAGGGTAGGGGGGTAAATGTGCCACTGGCTTGCACCCCCACTGAAGTAGACCACCCAGAGGGGTCCCAGCAGGTGCTGGGGACGTGGAACTGCCTGCCTTACCAAAGGTTCTGCCTGGTGGTCTGGTAGTGCTGTAGTTGCTGCTGGATCCCTTCCAGCTCAGCCTCAAGCTCTGTGTAGCCTGCAGCAACAGGAAGAGGGGCTTGATTGTGACCATCATCCCTTTTAGAACCACAGAGAACAGGTGGGGCCTTGGTGGAGGGGTGGCCCCAGCTCCCCGACCTCACCTGTAGCTTCAAAGCCATACTCAGGCCCAGCCTTGGTGCTTGTGAAATCCTTAGAGAGGAACACATGGGGGTCAGAGTCCCTGGTCAGGGATGGGTAGGCCTGGGGTTGAGACCCAAGGGTAGTGAGCTGTGCTGATACCTGCAAAAGAAGGGAAGACGGTTGAGCAGGGCAGCCAGTGGTAATCCTGGAAGGTGAGTCCTGTCCCTGTCTTGTTACCACTGTGCCTTGCAGGCTAGACGGTGACCAGTCCCAGGAGCTGGGCTTCCCAGGCCGCTTCCAGCGACATACAAAGGCTGGCCATGCCTGTTTTGGAATCTGACACCACTGGGGAATTCTCACAGGCACTGCCCCAAGTAGAGCAGCAGTTTGTACCCTTACCCAATCTTCCACTCAACAGTGCTGAGCTACGAAACTCAGATTTCAGTGAGGAAAATAATCAGAGGCAATTCTCCTTGTCCCACTACTCCTGCACCCGCCTCCCAAGCCCTGTCTTCTCCTGAGGAGAGTAAACATATCAGCATTTAACATTTTTGATGTTTACTTGGGGACAGGGCCTTGCTGTTTAGCCCTGGCTGGCCTCAAACTCATGGCAGTCCTCTTGCTGTAGCCACCCAAGGGCTGGGCAGTTTTGACTTTTCGAGATAGGGTCTTGCTATGTAGCCTAAGCTGGTTTTAACCTCAGGATCCTCCTGGATCTGGTGCTGGAACTACAGGTGCATGCCATTTCTGTCACCACCAGAAATGTCCATCCCTCGCTGGTCAGCAAAAGCTTCTTAGCAGCTGACTCCAGTGCTGCCTCATCACAGAGCACCCCCTCCTCTCACACCTGCCTGGGATCCTCTGTGCTAGCCTCTCTCTGCTAGCCCCCTGTGCTCTTTGAGGTGACCTGAGGGATACATCTTTGACCTGTGCTATGAACACTCAGCCTAGACCTAATCTCCTGAAGACCTGAATGTTGGTTGCTTTCTTCCAGATCTGACTGGGTTAAAAAGGATCAAGTGTGTCACCAGAAGCCAAGGCCCTACCCTAATTTTCTTTTAGTCAAAGAATTCCTAAGTTACTCAAGTTAGAAACCTAAGTCCCTCTGGATTCCTTATTTTCTTCCCTCTCTCCACATCCACTACAGTGAGTCCTGCCTTGCTCATCCCCGTAAGTAGCTACAGCCAGGGCATCCACACATTTGCCTGGATCACATGGCTCATGGCTGCCCAACCATTTGGTGCTGTGAGCCCATTTTCCAGGCCAGATGTGTTGATGTTCCCTCAACTTCCTCTTCCCACACTCCAAGCTTCCACAGCCCACCTGCCTCCTGGGATCTGAGGACCCTCTGACGTTCTACATGTAGTGTTCTGACTGTCCTGCCACAGTGGCCTGCCTTGTTGAATGACCAAGGGTATTCTGGAGATAAGCATAGCTGTGGCAACGGTGCAAGGGCTGGAGGAAGCACCAAAGGAGAGCTAGTGATGGGCCCAACGATGGAGGACTCACCCTGGCAGCTGCTCCTGCTCCATGGGGCATGAAGGAGGAAGGAGGCAGCAGCTCCAGACCCGGACTTGCTATAGAGGGCAGCTTCAGACCAGAAGCATTCAGCAGGGCCCCAGGTAGGAAGGGCCTTGTCAGAGAAAGGCCTCCTGGCTGGGCCATGCCTTGACCCCTTTCTGGAGGCTTCTCAGGCCTGAGCAGAAGGAAAGCAGGAACTGGTCAGACCATGGACCCTTTCTCTGGACTAAAGGGGTCACCCATTCCATCCAAACACAGGACCCAAATATAGGTCTCAGTGCCTTTGGGGACCCAGTCATTCAACCTACCCCTGTTCCCTGAGGGTGCCACACCCTAGGGACCTCTTGCTCCCCCAGGTCTCCAGCAGGAAGAGTGGACGCCGTGGCTGCTTCCTTACGGAGTGTGCAGCATCGCTGGGGAGAAAGTCTGGTTCCTTAGACTAAAAGGGACTGCAGGGGGACTGGACACCTTTATAAGGTCCAACCCTTATTTTACAGGGAGAGTGAAGGCCAAACAAGGTGAGGCTCTGGCCCAAAGAGCAAATAACAGGGCAAACCTGAGCCTAGACAACTTGCAGAAACCCCCACACAAAGTTATGCCTGATTCTGGGTACTGCAGCCACACTTTCTTTAATCTGTTCAGCAAGATGGCAGTGTGAGGCTCTCCACATCAGAAGGGAGCAACCTCTGAGACATTCAGGGTCCTGCCAAGATTAGGCAGAAGGGACAGAACAGATCCAGACAGGGGCCCAGGCCCAGCGCACCCACCCTTCGTGAAGTCTGAGACAGTGCTGATTCCTCTGGTTGTTGATAACTGCCTCAACAAGGGGCCTGGGTAATAGGGCCTGAAGAAACCAAGGAGGTGACAGAAGGACAGTGTGCTGGACAGCTTTAGTGTCAACTTGACACACCTGGGTTGAAGGAGCCTTAATTGGAGAACTGCCTCTATTGGACTGGCCTGTGGCCATGTCTGAGGGGCATCTTCTTGATGAGTGATGTGGGAGGGCCCAGCTCACTGTGGGTGGTGCCACCCCTGGGCAGGTGGGCCTGTGTTGCATAAGAAAGCAGGCTGAGCAGGGGCCAGGGGAGCAAGCCAGTGGGCAGCATTCCTCCATGGCCTGTGCTCCAGCTCCTGCCTCCAGGTTCCTGCCCTGAGTTCCTGCCTTGGGCTCCCTGATGAACTG